CACTCTATTCTAAGAATCTTATCAGTAACTGGGGAATTAAAAAATATGAAAAGCAATGGTTTTTGTTCTAATGGCATTCACAGTCTATTTAGCCTGCATGTTTTTCCTTAATGATGTATTTGATCTGACTCTTTTTCCTCAAAAGAATCATTCTTGGGATTACAGGTACATTTGACATTTTATCATGGGTAAGTGTGAAATTGTTGATAAAGGAAATGCTAAGACTTTTTATATTAAAAGATATATTTACATTATAACTTCATAGTGCTTCTCCTAAGAAAAATGTAGTTCTACATATAATTTTTTTTTTTTTTTTTTAATTGAAGTCTTGTTGCCTAGGCTAGTCTTAAACTCTAGGGCTCAAGCAATCTCCCCATCTCAGCCTCCTGAATGCTGGGAGAACAGGTACATCAATATGCCTTTTTTTTTTTTTTTTTAATTTTTTTTTTTTCCTAGTACTAGAGATCAAACACAGGATTTCACACAAGCAGGGCCAACACATTACCAGTACATCTCCAGCCCTTTTTTATTCTTTCTTTTCTTTTTCTTTTTTTTTTTTTTGTGTGTGATACTGAAGATTGAATCCAGAAGCACTTTCCACTGAGCTATATCCCAGCCCTTTTAATTTAAGACAGATTTTGCTAAATAGCTGAGGCCAACCTTTAACTTAAGACCCTCCTTTTCAACCTTCCAAATAATTAGGAATACAGATATGCATCACCATGTCCAGCTTTTATTTTGAGACAGGGTCTTGCTAATTTGCCCAGGCTGGCCTTAAATTTGTGATCCTCCTGCCTCAGCTTCTCAAGTAGCTGGGATTATAGGTGCCCCATAAATAATTTGAATTTTTTTAAATTAATAATATTTTAGTAGGTAACTTTTCCAATGGGTGAAGATACAGAAGTGATTTCATGTAAACACAGGACCTGTCTCATCCCTATCCTCTTTATTTTTAGCTCTTCTTCCTTGGGCAGTCACTGTTACACATTCCCAATTTACTTTTGAGGAAGAGTCTTTTCCTAAACATGTCTATATGCAAATGGTAACAAACTATACATAATTGTTTTTCTTAATGGAGCTCATTCTGTATCAGCATGTAAGGAACAAGAAGCCTTACTTCTTTTTTGGCTGTATACAATTCTATTGAATGGATGAACCATAATTAATCTGTTACTAAAGATTGTTTAAATTATTCTTTTCTATTACAATGATAACATAAAACCTAATGTTATTATGTATACCTCTGCAGGGTATAGCTGTAAGATATAAGTCCTAAAACTATATTTGCACTTATAGAGGTAAATACCCATTTCATTTTTTGTTTCAGAGGGCTTGTTGGGTAGCTTTGTCAGTAATGCCTTTCTGAAGGCATTTTAGCAGAATCAAAACACTGGAAGGATTACTTAGAGACAACTTTTTTTAGTGATAACACCAATCCTATATGTGATTCCAAATAAAGTGATTCTGATTTTCTTTGAAAACATACATGATGATAAATTTTATCCCTGTAAAGATCATCCTCCAGTGAGACAGATTAGGATCAAATTATGGTTTGGCTTCTCCCTTGTAGTTCGAAGTGGGCAAATGGCTTATTCTTTCTGAAACTCTGCATTAATCTGTAAGATTTGGATGTAATACCTACCTCATAGGATTTTCATGAGAAATAAATAATGTATATGGTGTGCTTTTCAAATTGTCCAATAAATAGTAGATATTAGTCCAAATATGTTGCCTTTTGGTCAGGATATTTTTGTATTTCTGCAATCACTTTTGGAACCAGTGCATAAACATGCAGAATGTGGTGTTATTCTGTGGTGTTAGATACTGATGAAAGTTCACAGTATCCACCTTAATCATACTGCCTCACTCACAATTTGATATTGAATAATCAGAATTAACTACAGCCTTGAAGAATGAAGGTCCACCATTATGAAATAGAAAACTTCAGGATTGATATTGGAAACTTAATAAGTACATTAAACTTGAAAGATTTAGAATGTAACCCTCCCAAACAAAACATAATCGAAGGCAGCAAAATAAAACCAAATTAATCATTTAAAATTGTCAAAAAGGCAGAATTCTATGAGTTGAACTTACTACTTGACATCTGTAGACTTTTTTAATTTGGTATTTTACAGAATTAAGCAGTTATCTGCTCAGTTAAAGAAGCAATTTTATTTTTCTAATTCAGTTTTCATCTGTATAACTACAGAGAAGCTGTGTGGCTTTCCTAGTTGTCTGTACATATTAGTTCATATGTATATGTGTAATGTTTTCATTTCCAGTGAGCAGTTCACGCCCTAGATACTGTAATGGTGTTTGTTTTTCTGCTGAGGTCTCCCATATTTAAGTGCTTTTTCTGAGCTATTCCTCCTGAAGGAACACTGTATACTATACTGGAACAAATGAGACTTCTGAAACATCCAGTCTGGGTTTTGCACGTAGCATTGCCATTCCTTATTCAGATGAATGGATTCTTTTTCTCCACTTTAGGGCCTTGCCTTACAGAAAGAAACAGGGCAGTGAAAGGAAAATATTTTGAGGCTTGCCTGTAGGGAGTATGTGACACTTAAAATTTTAATATTCAGCTTATACTTTTCCTAAATTTGGTTGCAACATTCATTTAGGTACTAAAGTCCTAATGGGTGGGTGGCTTGTTCTACAAGGCACTGGATAAGAAAAAAGAACTGAGAAAAGGGAGATTTTGTGGAAAGTGCCCACCCAGGGTGGAGTGTTGCAAAACCTGGGTCCTGGGCCTGCTAGAATCACTGCCTCAGTGATAGGACTGTGTGAAAGTGGAGTCACACTGTCATACATGTACAGTTGTTCAGAACTGGGACAAAAGAAAGGTGCCATGTAAACAGTTGAGATGTGCTCAGCATTCCTTCAGTGAGGCAGCCCCAGGGTAAGCTACCAGTGTACTCAGGGTCTCAGTTCCCTTTGTCTTCTAATGGTTTAAGCATCTTGGCAATATGGTGGGATGTTCATAGAAATATTTTTTCAAACAATGTAGTCCCCACATGCAAATGGCCAGCTAAATTCATTTGGTATACACAGGGGATTTGTTCTAGCCCCCCTCCTCACTCATGGACACCAAAATCTGCAGATTTTCAAGTTCCTTATATGCAATGGTATAATATCCTCATATAACCCATAACATCCTCCTGTGCACTTGAGATTACTTATAACAATACAATGTAAATGCTATGTAAATAATGACAGGGAACAAAGTCTATATGCTCAGTACTGATGCAATTTTTTAAAAATATTTTCAGTCCAGTATGATTGAAGCTACTAAGGCAAAACCTGTGGATACAGAGGGCAGCTATACTTCATTTGATGTTCAGCTAAAGAAATAGGGATCTATTCTGACATTGAAGGGAAAAGTAGCAATTTTTAAAAATTGAAACATGGTGGAATATGAGTCTTTGTGACATGTAAATGCCAGTATAAGACTGTATACCATGTACTTTGGTGACTTAAAGGAATTTCAAAGGCAACATTGACTGAGCAAATTTAATATGTAATTGACTTGAGAGTAAGATGCAACTAAGTGGCTCTCACTCTCAGTTTCATCATCAGGAAAATTACCTGGTATAAGATGATCATCTAAAGGTTTTTCATCCATGTACATTAAAAGATAAAAATCAAATAATATGAAGAGACAAGACTACTGAGAAGGGCTAGAAGTTATCCAACAATGGGAGGACAAGGAGTTTTTTTGTTTCTGTTTTTGTTTTGGTACTGGAGATTGAACCCCCAGGGGTGCTTAACCACTGAGCCATATTCCCAGCCCTTAAAATTTATTTAGAGACAGGGTCTCTATAAGTTGCTTAGGGTCTCAGTAAGTTGCTGAGGCTGACTTTGAACTCAGTCCTTCTGCCTTAGCTTTCTGAGTCACTGGGATTACAGTCATGAATCACTGCACCTTAATAATTAATAACTCCTAGGCGTTATTAATTATATCTTCCATTTCCTGTCACTGGAATGGGCAATCTCATTTGACTTGAATCTGGATTTAGGAAAAAATGGTACTGTTCTTAAGAGCAGCCAGTAGAACAGATTGAAACAAATGAGCTTTCTAAACCAGCGGGATGAATACACCTGCTAATGGAGCATTGGCTGCAGCTGCAGTGGAAAATTGGCGCTGCTTCCCCTTTAGCAGTGACTCAGGGTCCCAAGTAGCTAAACAGTGCTGAACAGTGGCCAGTAATCCACTTAAGTTCTAAGTCATCTTATTCTCTTTATACTTAGTTCTGAGTCAAATTATTCTCTCTTTATACTTACACTCCTGGAATCTTACTGATTTTCTGTGCCTTTGTCTTGTTTTCTGACTTGGCGTAGGGTCTGTGTAGGGTTGAGAAATATGATGATTTGGCTGCCTTGACAATAGTAGCAACACCCTGACCTTTGAAGCAGATTGATTGGAGGGATGCTGACTTGATCAAACCAGTTGTAGCATACCTAACAATGGGCATTTCATTTGATCCCTGAGATCTTTACTTTTAAAATTGGCCAGATATCCACTAAGCTAATAAGCAGGACAAAAGCAGTAACATTCCCAGTTAGACATGGCCAATCACATTTTGAATCCACAGGGGATTTGTTCTAGCCCCTCTGTGGTTGGAGTGTGTTGTTAACTGGCACACACACACACACACAAAAAAAAAAAAAAAAAAAAAAACCCAAAACAAAAACAAAACAACTTTATAACTCAGACACTTGAAAAACTAAAGGAGTGATTTTATAGATAAATTATTGTGGGAAAACTGCACATGATATTGACAGTATCTTAAAATTAGTTACTACAGTGCAAAACTATGGGGGACTATTTTTTCCTTAAGATGTATTAAGTAAGCAACTGATTGTTGAAATTGGAAATACTTTTTTTTTTTTTTAAAGAGAGAGTGAGAGGAGAGAGAGAGAGAGAATTTTTAATATTTATTTTCTAGTTCTCGGTGGACACAACATCTTTGTTGGTATGTGGTGCTGAGGATCGAACCCGGGCCGCACGCATGCCAGGCAAGTGCGATACCGCTTGAGCCACATCTCCAGCCCCAAAATTGGAAATACTTAATGACAACAAACTTGGAGGGATAGAGAGCTATATCCAGCCATGCAACAAGGACATCTCATGAAAAAAATTGCTTGATCTACAGGAGGAATAAGGCCTTGCCTTGCAGAGTGATTCTTATTGGGAGCATTTATTGAGCAGGTACAGCTTACTACATCATAGAAGTTGCCAGGGGAATTCAAGAGATGCAGGTATCTCCTTCCCCTCAGGGGGCTTACCAACAGGAAAGAAGTGATTGACATGTTGGACCTTTGGGTTATACTTACATACTTTGTCTTTTCAGGAATGAACTACTCATTAAGTCCAGAAGCAAGCCAGCATGATACCAATAAAAGTGATGTGGTCTTAATTATAGTTTTGGTCTCCCTAACAAGACAGGTATGAATGTTTTCCCTCCCTCCCCACCTGTAGCCAAGGCAATGGTATTTCCAGTTAGTGAGTGGAGAAAGAAGCTAATTCAATGTGTCTTTTTTCTACTTCCTTCTCCTTTGATAAAGTGAATAATACCAGCTTTTCTTCTAAAGAGGAACACTATTTCTTTATAGAATTTTGTGTCAAAGGGGAGCCATTGGAAAGATGGAAGCCATTTTTTAAAACTGAATCAAGATAGTAATAAAAGAGGCTTTTTTTGTGAAGAGAACTTAGGATAGAAAACTTGAGATGGCTCAAGTTCTGGGTAAGGTTCCCCCAAAATAGAGTCGCTCTTTTCACCATCTGCATAGGTAGAACGATGTGCATGTCTCCTTCAACTCCTAAGGAGGCACTACAAATAACAAAACCTAGTGAGGCCAGTCAGTTTGAGAGGCTTCGCCCTTCAGGGGCAATTAAGACAGGCTTTCTTTTTTTTCTGTCTTAGGAAGAGTAGATTGGAAAGACTGGACCCAAGGAAGAAAGATCAGTTTTTGGTTTCTTGAGCTGTGATGCTAAGGCAGGTAGGCAGCCAGGTAAGAAGACATCAACCACCCAGCCCATGCCTGTGGTGATTGCAGGGTCCCTGCACTTCAAGGTTCAGATGGCAGGATCTTCTGGCACCGCTGCCTTCAGTGTGTTTCTGGGGCATGCTCCTGGTAATTTTCTTTGCCTGTGGTTCAGGTTGTGCTCAGCGCAACTCCTTCAACTGAGCCAGGTTATCCACTTGTGTTAGGCCTGATTGGTGATGTTATTGACCTTCGCCCAGGCTGGAAAAGTGTCCAGGTGGAAGAGGCTAACGCCCCAGGTGTTGATGGCCACCATCACTATCACCAGGCCAATGACATTGACTCCCAGGCCAGCTTTCACCTGCAGGACACAAGCCAGCACAGATCCCTAAGTGAGCGCTTCCTGGGCTCCCAGCTAAGCCTTGCTCCACCCAGGTGGCCCTGATTGTTCACTGACTGCCTGGGATGCTCAAGTGTTGCATTATGGGGTGGCACAGGACCGTGGAAGGACCAGAAAAATAGGAGGGATTAGGACTGGGTGAGGACAATTAGAATCATCTCCACTTCTTGCCTGTAGTCTTCCCTCTAGGAAGTGGAATCCCAGGAAGTCTGTTAGTTATTTAGGATGTTGAGAGTTATTTTTGCAGTGAAATGTGTTAACAAAATTAAACAGCTCTTTAAAGCAGGAACTTCTCAGAGCTTTACGTGCTCATACACACAAGGAACTTGCAGGGGTTATATTATATGAAGGCTTTGCCACTATTACCTTTTTCCCTCCAGGGAACAACTTAGGGAAGTAAAGTGTCTTGGGTCACCTGGGGCAGCAAGTCAGCTGCCTCTGCTCAGTCCTTTACTAACAGCATTGGGGCCTTTGCTTCTTCCCTTGGGAATTTTACCTTACTGAGTCCAACCTGTTTCATTTCTGAACTGTCATTGACACTGACAAGCTGAAGGGTGATGTGAGGGATGATGGGTGGCTAAGCCAGGGCCAGCTGGAAAAATGTGTACCTTGAGGACAGCTGGCATCCTTCCAGGGAGTAGCCAGGCACACAGCTTGTAGCTGAAACAGGTCCCCTAGCTGCCAGCAAGTTGGGGAAATTAAAGGGAAAAAACAGATGCTAGGAAATTATACCAAACAAATAAGTAGACATGACCTCTGTCCTGCCCTCTGGCTGGAGCCATGGACCCCTCAATCAGGCTGGCTCCCTGGGTCTTTTGGCATGGAGAACAGCCTGTGCTTCTCAACATGCTCTAAGGAGCTAAATTAAGGTCCTTTAGAGCTGAAAGGGACCACAGGGAGAATCTAGTTGGAACCTCCTTAGTTAGCAGATGAGGAAATTAAAGCCTGGAATTAACCCCGCTRGTACTAGAACCCAAGACTGGCTTGCTTCTTGTCATTCAGTGCCTTTGACAAGGACTGTCTCTGACCACTGGATTCCAGTGTAAATGGCTAGAGGTGAGCGGTGGGGGCACACAGCAGAGGAAGCAGAGGCAGAAGAGCTGGGCAGAGGTATGTGAGAAGACTGGGGAGCAAGAATGAGGGACAGCTGTGACTTCCTGTCCCTGAAATATCACAGATGATATAGATAAGCAACTTGAATCTGCTTCCAGCCTGAAATACTTTCTTCTTTCTCTTCGTTTGATATTTTACAGGTCTGCTGAGAACAAGTTTCAACAGTGAAAAATTTCTTTTTCACCTCAGGGTGACTGGCCTCTCTCTGTATCTGATGGTCAGGCCTCGGTCATTTCTATCAGTTTGTTTATCCTTTCCCCAACCCCCATCAGCTGGATATTAAGAACAGCAGTGAGTATTGGTTGAGGAGTGGTTGAGTCAGTGGCAAAATGGCTCCTCAAAGTCATTTTTTATGAGCCCAACTGACAATTAGAAATAAAAAGTGATGCCTTATTTTTTTCATTGTTACTTTAGCGCTTTCCTACTAGGGAAAGAGTCAAGCAGAAGGATCCTGCTCTTACAAAACACGTTCACCCTAGATTCATATTTCTTATACTCTATTTTCTGTGAATAAACCAGTGCCTTTTCCCTTCTTTTCTTTTCTTTCTTTCTTTCCTTCCTTCCTTCCTTCCTTCCTTCCTTCCTTCCTTCCTTCCTTCCTTCCTTCTTTCTTTCTTTCTTTCTTTCTTCTTTCTTTCTTTCTTTTGTGTATGTGTGGTGCTAGGGATTTAACCCAGGGCCTTATGCATGCAAAGGAAGCACTCTACCCCAAACCAGTGGCTTTTTGAATGAATGTCCCCAACAGTCCAGTGAAATGGAGAAAGAAGAATGGAGAAATGGAGGCAGAGATTTGTGTAAGCTCATGGCTTCTGGAACTGGGCCACACACAGTGCCTGCACCAGCTTTTTCTATCCATCTGCCCACTTTTCTCCAGAACTGGGGAGAGCACATTATTGCTATTCTTAGAGCTTATGTACCATCCAAGAACCTTTTTACGGGTATCATTCTTTCTACCACAAAGGATAGGATGTTAACAGGTGATAGATACTGCTACAAAAAAAGAAACCTTGGGAGAAGGCCTGCAGCCAGTCTTGCCCACCCTTATGGTGGCTGAACCTGGCGGAAGCAGGCACCTGCAACTCACCATGTCTTTGATCTGGCAGTGCCCATAGCTGAAGACGATGGCATTGGGGGGATTGCCCACAGGCAGCATCACTGCAAAGGAGATGCACATGGTGACTGGGATCAGGGTGTAGAGTGGGTTAATGTGCAGCGTTTCAGACTAGGAGAAGAGAGAATTCACAAAAATGTTAACTTGGACATTAGGCATGCATTTCCTGTGCATGAATTTGCTTTAAATGATGGCACAGTGCAGTCTAGCCTTCACTGGACAGGGCTAGTTTGTTCCCTCCCCTGCAGGGCATTCGCTGCCCTTGGCAACCCAAATTGTTAAAGCTTTGAGGAACTTTCTAGAATGAGTATTTGATTTTTTTTTTAAGGAAGTGGTTCTTAAGCCTTATTATTTAGTTGAAAAATCCTTTCTTCAAACAAAAAAAAATCTCATTAATAAGCTGTTTTGATTAAAACAAGTATCCCTCACCCTTGTGGGTACAGAACTGAGGGCCTTTTTTTCTGGGGAGGATAATTGTTTTATTTGGGATTCAAACGCATAGTACTGCTGTCACTGTTGTCAAGTTTTAAATGAGTGCTCTCCCAAGCTCACACACTCAAGGTGATAGAAGAAATTGGAGACATCTGACCAATGGGCAGAGAGAGTTGACCAATGGGCAGAGGGGAGTTTGGGGTTAGAAGAGCAGGAAGAGGCTATTTTGCTAAGATGGGGAAAAGGCTTCCATTTCCTAGATTTCATCTTTCAGTGTGGACCTATGCTGCATTGGATCAAGTTCATTACCTGGAGGTTGCCCTCTATCCCTGTTCCGTTCATAACCATTGGTCTGAGGTCATGGAATAAAGGACCTTGCTCCCAATTCTCAGAACCTTCTGGAGGAGTTGGGCAGAGGTAGTAATGATCCTGAGAGCTATGGGCTTGGGTTTTGCAGCTGTGTGTGCTTTGACTCCATTTTCTGTGGTTACCTCTTTGGCCCTACTGCTAGTTTTTTATCTTAGCAGGGAAAGGTTGATGAGGATTGTGGGGAAATGGAATTCTAGGATTTTAAGACTGTTTTGTCTATTCTTTTTCTTTTCTTTCTTTTTCTTTTTTTTTTTTTTTTTTTTTTTTTTGGCAGTCTGGGTAAAACCCAGAGCTTTGTGCATGCTAGGCAAGATTTCTAACACTGAGCTATGTGCCCAGCCCTTTATATTTTATTTTGAGACAGAGTTTTGCTAAACTTGCAATCCTCCTGCCTCAGCTCCCAAGAGCTGAGGTGACAGGTGTGCACCACCACACCTGGCTATTTTGTCCATCCTCTTGTTTTCGTTTTGGGGGTGCCCCTAAGTTAATCTTTTGAAAAAGGATTTCCACAGCTCTTACTATGATTTATTAGTGTATCTTTTTATTTATTAATTGCTATTTGAAAACTTTTTTTCAAATTTTGGTTTGAATACCAATCAGTGAAAGCTGTTGTGGGCAGTGACCAGAGAAGAAGGTACAGCCACAGAAGCTGCTTCCTGGAGCCTGGCTTGCCATTGCAGGACCATGACAACTGTTTAGACACTTGGGAGCCCCTCTCTACTTACCAGACTGCACAGGATGGGCAGGAAGATGGTGATGGTGGCTGGGTTGCTCACAAACTCTGTGACAATGGACACCAGGATACATGCCAGCAGGGTGACAGCCCATGGTGGCAGGCTGCTCAAGGATAACATCTGGTGCCCAATCCACGTGGAAAGACCAGAGCTCTGTAGGAAAAGTGTTAGAGTAAAAAGGAAGGAGGAAAAGCACATTCCCAAGGGGTTCTTAGACTTCAGAGGGTCAGGAGAGCTGGCTGGAAGGAACCACCAGGATTCATCCAATTCTATTTTTAATCTGACTGGAGTCAGATGCAGTCCTGATTTTATGTTTAGATCATTTCTGTAGCTTAGAAATTTATGATTGTACAGCATTCAGTCTCAATGTCCTGATCAGTCGGCTGTCATGTGGTGTGCACAGCCACATCTCATGCTGTGATCCTTCCTGGGACTTTTTCTCAGCAGGGGTTGGAGATCTTTACCCCTCATCTTTAGCCCCTCAACATCAGTCTCATCCTATCTCCAGCCTCTGGCACCTTCACACCTCAGTGATGCCCTTTATACAGAGTCCAGAGGTAATCCTTTCTTATGCCTTTGGTACTGGGGATTGAACCCAGGTGTACTTTACCACTGAACTACATTCCAAATCTTTAAGTTGCTGAGGCCCTGAAGAGAATGAAATTATGTCACTTGAAGGAAAAATAGATGGAGCCAGAAACCATCTTGTTAAGTAAAATAAGTCAAACTCAGAAGATTAAGGGTCATATATTTTCTCTTATTATGGAAACTAGAGAGGAAAAAAGAAAAATGTAGGGGGGTATCTCATGAAAACCAAAGGGAGATCAGTAGAGGAAAGGGACCAAGGGGTGGGAGGCAGGAAGAGCTGGGGGTGATATTGGCCAAATTATATTGTTCTCTTGTGTGCAAGTACAGATGTGTAACAAGAAATCCTATCACTACAACTATAATGCACCAATAAAAAATGTGAGAGGAAAAGTCTATTTAATGGGGAAGGAGCCTCCTCCCTGGCCTATAGCATAGTCATTAAGCCCCAACTGTTGGGTTCAGTTCTCATGATGGTTGACAAGTACTATCTTGTCGGTATTTTGTGCATACCACAGATATGAAGGCATATTGCTCACTCTGAACCTTTCCCATTAGYAATATTTGTACATATCCGCTCAAATAAATGAATATTCCCACTTTGAATGATTCATTGGATTAGAAGATATTCATCTGCCAATGGTATGTCTCCTCTTCTAAAAAATGAAAGCCACCATTGAGCTTTTGAACCAAAAGTCCCCAGGTTGCCATATGTATTCGTTTCTCTTTTGCTCCCTCTTCTCTCCCTTCTGTGATTGACATGCTCAGGCTCTTGCTGTGGAACCCCAGACTGCCAAGGCAGGAGGGAAATGGAGAGTAGGGGCAGAAAGCAAGGCGAGTTGTTTTTATGATTCCTCAAGCTAAAGTCCTGCTACTCAAATGTTACTATGCCTTCACTACGCTGTCAGCAAGCCACATTTTCTCTTTCTCAAATTCATCAAAAGCTCATCTGATCTCTATGCTCCCTTACCAGCTCCCTGCAAGCTCACAGACAACTGTGATGAAAGATCTCCAGAATTCTSTCTGTTGTAGCCATCTCACCTTGGAAACTTTTCTTCCTTTTTCTTCCAACTGAGTTATAAACTGAATATGTGAAGACTGCATCAATCAATGGTTGGTACAGCACTTGCAGCTGCAGGAACTCTAATTATTCCCTCTCAAAACATTAAACCTCACTCATTGGACAAATGGAGGGATGAAGAGCAGTTAGTTGAGTGGAAATAGTACATTTTGTGAAAAAAAAAATGGAGTTTTATTTACCAAATCATCCAAATAGCACTCATAAGTAAAGTGACATAATTTAATGGCAATTATTTTTCCAGCAGAACTCTTTCATGCTATAATTTGAAAGAAGTTGATAAATTAGTCTGCAAAGTTAGACAAAACAAAATGAAGGAAGTCTTAATTTTTTAAGCCCCTGGGTATGAGAACATTTCACATTGAATTTTCCTCACTAGTGTCAACTCTGGAATTATTTCAAACTCAGTAGGAGTCACATAGATTGTACCTGAATTACTAAAGTTTAAAAATTGGCAGAATCAAACCTATCCAAATAGGTTTTACAGAAACATCACCTATACTATCTGAAATACATATACAATTTTGATTTAAAAAGAAAGGTCTTGCTAGGCTAGACTCTGGCCAAAATTAACAACTGAAATTCAATAAAGATAAATATAATATCTTATACTTGGAATTAGAAATGTTGACAGCACATATGCAGGATGGGTTGAAGGAATTCCAGTTTAATAGTGGCTACCAATGGGAAGGATGAAGGGTTGTAGTTGACGGCTATTTCAATATAAACATTGACTTGAGAGCCCAGGAAGCCCTGTAAAAGCTTCTATAAAATTGTAGGCTGGGGGGCTGGGGATGTGGCTCAAGCGGTAGCGCGCTCGCCTAGCGTGCATGCGGCCCGGGTTCGATCCTCAGCACCACATACCAACAAAGATGTTGTGATGTTGTGTCCGCCGAGAACTAAAAAATAAAAATAAATATTAAAAAAAAAAAATTGTAGGCTGGTGCTTACGTCAGAGGTGGGAGATGGGTTTGGTAATATAATAGTCCATTTTGTAGTAGACTGACCACCCCGGGCCATGTCTGAATAAGGCCAGGGTAGGTAAACCACAGTGAGTCCTGAGGTGAGAGACCAGGATGGCAGTCTTTTCTGAGAATGGCTAAAAGAGTGAGGGAGTTCTAGTAGGAAAAACAGATTTAAAAACTATCATTTTACTAATTATTACCTAGGATAGGGTTCCAGAGAACAGAGTCAAAACCAACAGTGATGATACATGGAGAGTAAAGAACAAAGTGGGATTTAAATAACTGTTCTTCACATGGGGAGTGCCCTGTCATTAAGGGTGTCCAGGCCCTGGCATCCTGGAAAGGACTGTCACCTTGCATAGGAGATGGGGCTCAGTGTCCTCTGAGGATCCTTCCCAGTGTAGGATTCTGTGCCCTGGCAGTCACTGATAATCAGTATGCACAAGTGCAAGTGAAACATGTTTAGAATGGGCTCATTCATATGGGCAAGGGGGAGAGAGAAACAGTCTGAACCTTAACCCAATTCATTCTTTTTTTTTTTTTTTTTTACACTGCTTTGTTTTGTTTTTGGCACTGGGAATTGAACTCAGGGGTGTTCAGCCACTCAGCCACATCCTTAGCCCTTTTTAAAAATATATTATATTTAGAGACAGGGTCTTGCTGAGTTGCTTAGGGCCTTGCTGAGTTGCTGAGGCTGGCTTTGATCTCTTGATCCTCCTGCCATAGCCTCCCAAGCTGCTGGGATTACAGGTATGTCCAGCTCCTACATTTTTTTATTGTTGCATTACAGTTGTACATAATGGTGTGAATCATTGTTATATATTTATACCTGCAAACAATATAACAATATAATTTGGCCAGTATTACTCCCCGCATTTCCCCTCACTCTCTCCACCTCTCATCCATTGGTCCCTTTCCTCTATTGATCTTCCTTTGATTTTCATGAGACCCCCCCCCACCCCTTACCTTTTCATTTTTCTTCTCTAGTTTTTGCATATGAGAGAAAACATATGACCCTTAACCTTCTGAGTTTGACTTATTTCACTTAACATGATGGTCTCTGGTTCTGTTTTCCTACAAGTGACATAATTTCATTTTTCTCTATGGCTGAATAAAACTCTGTTGTGTATACATGCCACATTTTCTTTATCCATTCATCTGCTGATGGACACCTAGGCTGGTTCCATAGTTTGGCTATTGTGAATGCTATAAGCATGTATCACTGTATGAGTTGACTTTCATTCATTAGGATAAATACTGAGGAGTGGAGTATGGGTCATATGGTGGTTCCATGTCTAGTCTTTTGAGGAGCCTCCACACTGATTTCCATAGCTAACCCAACTCATTCTTAGGACCGTTTTGTATTTCAGAGAAAGCACTTCAGCTCTTTCCCACCACCTCCATTAGAAGGGTCTTATTCCAGACGCTCCCAACTGGGAAACCAAGAAAACTTTACATCAGCTTCAGCAAAGCTTCTCTGAAACGTTCAGTCTATGCTATTGACCCACAGGGACAATCCACTGTATCACTTGGGCTTTTCTCAGCCCTTACAGACTCATCTCCTATATCACTGTCAGAGCCCAGGGAATGGCTACAAAATCCAACAAACCTTTTGCTTGTGGCAATGTGGGACCTGCAGAGGAGGTGGCAATACTGGTGTGCCATGACCTGAATCACAGCTGATCTGTAACTGTGTTCCCCGAAGCACTGAGAAGGTCAAGGATGGACAGGACATCTATCCTGCTCTGTTGCTGTCCATGCCAGTGACTGATACCCACCATCCTCTCCCTCAGCTTCTTTAAGCCTCTTCCCAGGGCTAGATAAAACTTCTGGACTCATACTTGACCCCGAAGAGCAGAATTGAGGACTTACCTTGCTGCCGGAAGCCAGGGCATAGCCTCCTCCTACCAGGATGACAATCTCCCAGGGCATGGTTTTCTGGAAGTCCTTCCATGTGATGATGGGCTCAGACTGTAGGGAGGACTCCCGGCTTGTACCTAGATCAAAGGTAGGGAGAGATGGACGTGATTTATGGAGATTTATGGACATGATTTATGAAGATTTAGGGATTTCATGGGTGAATTGGAGGATTTGGGAAATGGCTGTACCGCTTTGTGGGGAGTCTGAAGGGCCTTGGTAAGCCTCCTTTGAATCATTCTTACTTGGGTGTTCTGGTGACTAAAGCCATCCCCAGCTTCTCCCCCTGAACATTCTCTTACCATCATTGTTTTTCCCAAAGCAGGGCTTCTTTGCTGGAATGAGGAAGAGGAGGAAGCCAAGGAAGACAGAGACTGTTGCATCAGTGCGGTAGCCTTTCCTAGCAAAGACACAAGCATGGCTGGAGGAGGGGTTGGGAATCCTCAGAAGTATTATGAATAAGAAAGTCTGTTTGAACACAGTGCCTCTCTTTAGGATTTAGTCTAGAGATGACAGCAACCTGACTTCTTGCCAGTTGCTGGCAAGCTGTCCCACAGTGGATTCATAGTTCATGGTTACTGTCTGGAGGCCGTGCCTGGCTGGGCGAGATGTGTTAGTGTAAACTCATGGACCCTTAGTTGGGGTGAGTCCTAGAAGTGATCAGGAGCCGTTGGATAAGGAAGAACAGAAAAGGCTGAGTCTTCTTTCCTGTGGGGCCACAGCTCCACCATGGTCTACCTGTGTCCCTCCTCAAATGAGAAGTTGGTACTTGGAGACCTTGTGGCCTGTGTCTAGTCTTGGCCTGCTGAGGTCCTGGCATGGGATCCTGTGTGAACCTCTCCTCCCTCCCACAGGCTTCAGCCTCTCTGTAGCGCAGTCTCTTTACAGTTGGCACTTTTTAGACAGTGTCTAACACCTTGTGTGACAGCTGAAGGCCAGAGAGCCCAAGTGAGAAGACAAAGGTCATACAGCTGATGAGTAGTGGCTGCATCCCAAGCCCAGACTGGGATTCGAAATACTGTTTTCTTCCTGACTCCACACTGCTGCTTCCCTAGAGGGAGCAGATTTCTCAGGGAAYGAAAAGCTCTCTTGTCTCATATCTCATGTCTGCCCCTAAGAGCTGTGATGGACCCCAGCGGTCACTGCCAGAGGAAACTGGGTGATGGATTGGTTCTTCAGGAAGAAACATCACTACTTACTTTTCAAAGAAGGAGTCCCAGCCAGGGACAAAACCAGGCTCCCGGGTAAACCACAGTACAGTCATCAGGATGAAGAAAAATCCAGTCACCATTTCAGGGTAGCTATAAAATCAAACAGAATAAGCCACTCCAGGATCTGGGGAGTTTGGTTTAGTTGTTGTTGTTGTTGTTTTGCTTTTGGAAACTCCTGTATTCGGAGTTGCAATTCTCAAGGCATAAAACATAGTCACTGCTTGCTTCTAGAATGGCTGGCAGTGAAGCAGGAAGAAGACCAATCAAGCAATGCCAAAAAATAAACAGGAAGTTCACCACGTGTCCTGGAGAAATTTAGGTGGGAAGGGAGAGACTTCAGCACTACCCATTTATGAAAATAATTTTACCTACACCCTACAAGGAGAGGGTATTGAAATGGGCATTGGACACTGTGCTAGCAGGAGTAGAAATGGGTACAACATTTTTGAGGTCATTTGACCTCAAAGTATAGACATCAGGAGCCTTAAGTTTGGTCCTTCCCTTCATCTCAGACAGTAACAAGAAATGCTCACTGAAATATTACCTATTAAAAAAGAGAAACAAGCATTTTGTTTATCCATTGATCTCCTGTGACACTGAATGCATTTTGGTACAACTGTTTGTTAAAATGAGATGCATCTGCTAATCGTCATGTTTCCACAACAGAATTCATGACATGGGGACATAGTCATAGTACAATGATAAGTGAGAAAAGGCAAGATATGCAGGTATGTTCAATATGAATTTTACCAAAAATACATGTACTGTTGCACAAAAAAAGTATGGAAAGATATTTAAAAAAAATTTTTTTTAGTTGTTGATAGATCTTTATTTTTTTATTTATTTATACATGGTGCTGAGAATTGAACCCAGTGCCTCACACATAACAGGCAAGTGCGCTACCACTGAGCCACAGCCCCAGCCCCTGGAAAGAAATGTTAACAGTTGTCTATACTTCCTGTGTTTTATAAATGTTCTACGGTGAACATGTATTCCTCTTATAACTTAAAGCTTTAAAAATAGTTCTCCCTGAATTATTTTCCCCAAAGTTGTATATGCCAATAGCTATAAGAGGAGAAATAGTATTAGTTAGAATGCTGGGTCACTGTGGAATTGCTGATAGAAGTGGCTGAGCATTGGTTAGTGATTTCTTGAAACTTCTGTCTTTAATGCTGCCTTATTCTCTAAGAGGCACCAAGTCTCCCAGTTCCCTAGGAGTGGTCGCTGGCTCACTGCAGTGGCCCACTTGAGCAGTGTGAGGAGTCCTAGTTTGGGAGGGGATTTGGCATGTTCCAAGACTGCCCTGTGCCATAGTTCTGTTGCTCTTTCCCCAGCTGCCTCGTCTGCGACACTCCACCCCCACACCACAGCTATACCTTGGACTCCAAATACAGCTAAAGGGAAGGGTGGCACTGCAGCCTGGGCAAGCTTGGCCTGGGCATTAAGTAGCATTTCAATGCCTGGATTCATAGATGTGGGAAACTCGCCCAGTGTCAGGGGCTGTCAGGAACAAGGCTGTTTTGTGCTTCACTTTACTCGCTGTGTTTCTGTCCTGGACAAGGAAACAAGGGCAGTGGCTGAGGTTTTACCTGATGTCTCCCAGCTTTTCATATTCCTCTTGGATTCTCTTCTCTGACAACTCTTCCCTTTTGGTCTTCTTCTTCTTGCTCAGAGAACAGGTCTCTTTAAAGCTGACAGGGGAAAATGAGCAAAAGAGAAAACATACTTCTGAGACCCAGAGGAAATCAGATATCAAACAGATACCAAACCACCAGTTTGCTGGGATGCCTTTCTCCTCGCTCACGTGCACTGTCCTGCTGTTCATACAGCTTCTGTCTGCCTGGTTCCCCAGCCTTGCACCAGCCTCCCCTAGCCTCTTGGGTATGTCCATCTGGGCACAGCTCTGGTGTGTCTTATGCATCTGCGCAGGAGCATTTACATGTGGTTGTTTCTACATACTCATACATAAGGAAAAGAATCAGTGTGGTGTGGTATGTATGTCTGCATGCATGTGTGTTTCCATGTGTTCCACATGCACAGGTGTGTGTGTGTGTGTGTACGAGTACATTTATTTATCTAGAGACAAGGCTTGTCTGGGGGAAAAATGGATGTGAATTTTATATGATACTATTGGAGTTACAGAAGTATACAGCCATCAGTGGTTTGATGACAGTCTCTGAGTAAAAAGAGAAGTCAGCTCTGAGAATACCCCTTGACCAGCGGAGTGTTAGGCTTCGTGGACTCTTAGCAAAACATCATATGTATCTTCCCTTTATGTGTTTGAAACTCATCAAACTTGGAAAAGATAATTATGAAGAAAAGGATTACTAAGCAGATTAATATTAGAAATAATACTGTAAGAGACTTAACTTGTTTTTGAAGGATCTGTGCATGTTCCATATGACTCCCGCCTACAAAATCAAACCAAAGGAAACTTCTACTTGGAGTCATATTTCTTTTTTTTAATATTTAATTTTTAGTTGTAGTTGGACATAATACCTTTATTTTTATTTATTTTTATGTGGTGCTGAGGATCGAACCCAGGGCCTCGCACGTGCTACACGAGCGCTCTACTGCTGAGCCACAACCCCAGCCCTGAATCATATTTCTAAAGAGTACTTGGAATAAATCTATATTCTTTGAGAGCAATGAAACTATAATTAGTTGAAATTAAGGACATTTTACTTTAGAACAGAGAGTCATAGAAGTCTAGAGCTTTTAGAGGAGACAAGATCTGGCTCCCAATGTGGTCCACTGCCTTCTCCTCGGGCATCCTGTTGGTTACTCCCTGCTTTGAGCAGAGCCTTCCAACAGTGCTTTGCTGGCAGGGCCTTGAGACTCACTTGCAGCCCAGGAACAGCCAATGCATCCAGAACCAGCTGACCACCAGCATGATGAGGGATATGGGGAAGCTGAAGAGGAACCAGGTGCCAAAGTTGACCACCTCTGCGGCTGGGTACTGGCTGGAGGGTAAAGACCATGTCAACAATTAGAAAAGCAAGGGTTTCCAAATGATATTGGGGGTTGACAGCTAAATACTCCCTAAGAACACACACAGCCGCGTAAAGGGAGAGTTAATGATTACAATATGATGACTCTACCTACAAGTCATTAATTTATTTGTTGCAACTGGACAAGAAGAAAGACAAGCAGAAAGAAGTAAGCCTAAAATAAATAAATAAATAAATATACACACACACACACACACACACACACACACATATTTAAGAAACTAAAATCAATACCACTGAAGTACATATCTTCTCCTGAGTTCACTCAGAATTACTCAGGACCTGTTTGCCCTTAATTTACATAAAGGTTTTGAGAAGTTGAACTCCTCTGGTTTTCAAGACCACAGAATGGAGAGGAAAGGTGGTGCACTTTGTCATAAAGCCACTTGAGTGTTGACGGGGGAGCAGTGGGGTGATACACTGCAGCCAATTCTAGATCACTGTGGGCTCTGGGACCTCATAAGGGTTCCAGGTATGGATGGTGCCCATCAAAGAACCAGGACTTGGAACCTCTAAGCACATACATACATCAGCAAAATAAAAGGTGGGTGATCTGCTCACATGCCAAGAAAAACAGCCTGGAAGAACTGGGCTTGGTTCCTGCAGGGTCAGGTCTTCATTTTAATTTGTCTTTCCTCCCTCCTTCCACGCTTCCTCCCTCCCTCCTTCCATCCTTCGTCCCTCTCTCCTTCTCCCTTCCTCTCCATCCTCTCCCTTCTTTCCTTCCTTCTCTTTCCTGCCAGAAGGAAAGTCGGGCTCCTCCTGTGGTCCACGATCAGCTGTGCTTAGCTCTGGTGGCATCACTGTCCATGACCCTTCTCCCCCATACTCCATTTCCCTCTCATCTGGATTGTCCTGACCAGAGTCCAGTGTCTTCCATCTTCAGACCTCTCCTTCTCTCTCCTTCGCTCTCTGCCATCACCCCACACCCCTCCTTCCCTCAGCCAGCTCTCCATTCCCTCGCTTCCTTCTTACTCCTCAAGGCACCAAGATCTGGCCTCTTTTACCACCACTTGACCAAACCCCTCTCACGTGGGCTACTGGTAGCCACCATGTCCCCAAACACAAGGGCTGCATTTTTATCCCTATTTTGTGTCATCCTTCATTAACAGGAAATATTGTAGCCACCCCTTGAAACACTTTCCTCCTGGGTAGAATGACACAGCTCTTCCTGGATTTCCCCTCTGCTGTCCCCTGCTCTCCCTGTCACAGTGTAAGTCCTATGGTTTCCATCACCAGGGGCAGATGAAAAGGTGGGCCTCTTGCTCAAAGAGTATCAAGAGTTTCTAGAGGGACAGCCAGCATTAAACCAAGCATAAGGCCACTCGGAGCACAGTGGCTTGGGTCACCAAAATAGGTTGCTCATGCATGGTGCCAGCCTGCAGGCCATGAACTCCAAATCTATTCAGCCAGAAAATTCTCTTGAGATTCAGAGTCATGCCCCCAACATCACACCTCAGCCTCTGCCAGCTTCCCCATTCTCATCTTTTCTCTCCAGTCCCCCTGCTGCTGAAACCAGACGGCTGAGAGTCAGGCGTGGCCCTCCCTCCCAGGTTCCTCCTGATGCTACCAACACCCGTCCAGTTATCTCTATGTATCTCTAAGATCTGACTTTCTCCTACCTGCTGCCAGTGTTATCCAAGGCTACCAAAGCTATCTCTTGGACAATGGCAGCAGTGTCCTAAACTATCCTGCTTTCTCCTTTCCAATCTGCTCTCCATTTTTCACACAGCATGAGTTCTCAAAACTATAAACCTAGTCACCTCTCTCCCTGCTTAGCTCTCCTTAAAGGGTTCTCACACCCTTCCAGCTGATGTCCAAGCTCCTTCTTAGCCCTTTGTCTCTGCCCATCTTCCTGCCTGGTCTCCTTTGCTCCATCATTTACTTTTTTTTTAACCATTTTAATTTTTTAATTTGTTTTAATTAGTTATACATGAYAGTAGAATTGATTTATGCACTTTGATATATCATACATAGAGGGGATATAATATATAATTTCTCATTTTTCTTATTGTACATGTAGAATCGTATTGGTCATGTAGTCACGTATATACATACAGTAATAATGCCTGTTTCGTTCTATCTTTCCTCTCCCCACATCCACTCCCCTCCCCTCCCTTCACTTCCCTCTACCTAATCTAAGGTAACACTATCTTCTCTACTGCCCCCTGCCTTATTGTGAATAACATCTACATATTAGAGAAAACATTCGACCTTTGGTTTTTATGTGCTCTTCTCTCCTGCTTCGGAGCTACTTCCATGCTGTGTTCTTTGTGGGAAATCGCCCTTCATCTGGTGTGCTATGGCTCAGCCTTCAGGTGGCCATTTGTTGTCACCTCTGTGGGGAGGCACTTCCTCCTTGCAGAGCTGGTGAGCTCTCCTAGCAGAATCCCGGCTTCCCTGGTCATACTCAACTGTAGCAACTTGRCGGTCTCTTTCCCTCTTGACTTCTGCCAGCACCTGGTCCAGTTCCTGACACCCAGTGGGTGGTTAGTAAGTATTGGTTGACTGAGTGAATGACTTACTTGTTGAAGTGTTCCAGGAATATGAGGCTGGTGGAGGTGCCAATGATGGTGGTCAGGCCGCCAATGGTAGCAGCGTAGGAAATGCTCAGAGAGAGGCACTTGCAGATCATTTGGTCATGCTGGGACCTGTACTTTCTGTTCAACTTCTGATTCCTGGGGCTGGAGGTCAGGCCAAGTGGCTTTTCCTACCAAAGGAAAATCAGTGAGTATCTGCACCAGCTTGGGCTGTCTAGCACACAAAGCCTGACAGGCAGGAGGCACCTGGTATAGCAGAAAGGTTTTGAGCTTCGGAATCAGAAAATGAATCCCAGTTTCTATCATTTGCCAGCCTGGACATGCCTCTGGGCTGCAGTTTCTTCTTCGGTACAATGGGAAAAATCATATTTTCTCGGCCACATTGTTGTGAGGAGTAAATGAACTAAATGAATTATATATATAAGTGTGTGTATGTGTGTGTGTATATATGAATATATATACATATATATGTGTGTGTGTGTATGTATATATATGTGTGTGTGTATATATATGTATGTATGTATGTATATATATATATATATATATATATATATATATATATCACTTTGGATATATATCCAAGGAAAGTTAAGCAAGGAGTGAGGTGACCAGATTTATAGTGGTCACTTAGATCACTTCCTGATATTTAATGATCGGTAAGCTATTATGATTTTATGTTTATTAATGTTATGAATACCGAGAGCATGCTTGTGGCTTTTTTTTTGTTCGTTTGAACTCCAGTAAAGCTAGTTGCTTTCCACATTGTGTTAGAACCAACAGAAGACGGTTATTCAGTGTGGAGTAGAGTGATAGTCCTGATGAAAACCTAGCTTCCGTGGGACGAGGGTTGAAGTGTGGGCCTCCTCCCTGTCTGCCTCACTCTTTCCTCTCTACCTTCTCCACCCCACCTTGCCTATAAGCCTCATCCTTGCCATGGTCCTCTCAGGCTCTGCTTGGGCCAGATAAGGGATTTTCAGGTCACAGAGGTGATCTCTGGTTTCAAGTGCACTAAAGAAGGAAGAGTCTCCTCCCTGCTCAACACTTGGTCACCCTCCCTGATTCTTCATGAGACTCGGAGAAGCCTGGTGAAGATGTCAGCAGGTCAGGTTATAAGAAAACCAGTGGGGAAGAGGCTGCCTTGCCATGTTTCTCATGGCCCTTAACCATTGCCCCCTCCTCCAAGGGGAGCCACAGGGAGGCTGGGCCCTTCCAAACCTCTGAAAGACTCACTGGTTATCAGAGCTGGAAGGCCCACTTAGATTCTTCAGTTCAGGGAGTTTGCATGATGATATATTACACATAAACCCAATTTATCAAACATAAAAGTAGCATTTCATTGGCATAGATTGATTTGGTAACAGTCAGGGACACCTGGATTTGAATCAAGATGCTGCTCTCTCAAGCTCTCAGGCCTTGGGTTATGATTTCATCATTCTGTCTCATTTGCAAAAACGTGGAGTTCAAAATCACTGCTTCACTGAGCYAAGACTGGGGAGAAAATGCTTGGTACATAATCAGTACATCATAAATGGTGGCAGTTATTTATGATGATGATGGATGTTAACTAATCAAGGCTGTTTTGATGATCACAAAAATTTGAAATCAAGGTAGTGACAGTAGCCATTTTTTACTAGTTTTAACATTCATTTGGTTTCTACAATTCATTTGTGGTATAGAACCAGGAAAGCCCTTACTTGTGCAGAAAAACAGTTGCTTTAGTATCTCAGGATACTAAAACAAAGTATTTGCAGTGTCCCTGAAGCACCTTTGAGGCATAGTTTGAGCACCTTTGGTCTTGACTAACCATCAGCATTTGCATTTGGGAAGCCTGGGCCCAGGTAGTGGGAGGCCTTGATGGAGCCATGTGGACCTTCACTGTCATGGTGCACAAAGGCCAGACATTGGTGATAGCTCATGAGCCTGACCCCTTCACAGTCCCAGGACAAGTGCCATGGGGGAGCTCCAGGCATTGTGGGTAGGAAATAGAAGGTGGGATTCTGTTACCTGGGATGGCTGCTTCTTGTCTTGGTGTTGGTTTGCTGTTCTGAGGGGGTTGGTGATCGTGGGCACACCATTCAGGTTCTGTTGGGACAAAAACCATCACACTATTAGGAAGAGGACGTGGTGAGGCAAATGCCTGAAGAAGTATTCCTAGCCATCCCAGGGTCCCCCCATACCCCGGCACCATGGGAATTGGAGACCAGATGTCAGGGAGGACGTGCACCTCACCAGGCCCATCTCCAGCCATCTTCACAGCTTCCCATCCCGCCAGCATCAGGCACCCCATGTGAAGAGGCTTTCACGACCTGGCAGACATGGCTGTGTCCTTCAGGAGAGCCTGTCTTTCTGGGACTTCATTAGCTAACGAAGAACTTCTTAGAATTTATATCTTCATACTTGCATCATTTTGTTTTTTATTTTTATTTATTTATTTATATTTTTAGAATTTTTTAACAGAAAGAAAAAAATTAAATCCCACCACAAGAAGTCCATAGTTTTATCAGCCATTTGTGCTCCTCATGAACATCCATAAAATCTTCATGAACATCCATAAAACTGGCTTTTGGGGGTAGGGGCTGAGTTTGAGCAGCAGTGTACAAGTAAGCATTGCTCTCCTCTATAAATGTACTCCTTTATGTAACAGGATGTTATGAATGGAAGCCCCTCAGAAAAATCCTAAGGTTGAATTATTGGCTCTTGAAATCTGGATGGTTTTCATGGGTTTCCATGAAAATTTTAAGCTAGGGCTAGGTTGTGGCTCAGTGGTAGCGTGCTGTCTAGCACTTATGAGGCACTAGGTTCAATTCTCAGCACTACATTAAAAAAAAAGGTATTGTGTCCAAACTAAAAATAATTTTTTTTAAATGGTTAAACTATATTTTATGTGGCTAAACCCAGTACTCAAGGCTGGGGCTTGGACTATCCAGGACTTTGCCACAAGCTTGACTGGCTCTTATATCTAACCTGTGTGACAACCTTTTTACCCTTATGTCCCTGGAGGCTGCTGGGATACAGGATAAGTTGACAGGTTCTTGATGCCTAAGTTACCTTGAGGGACCTTCAAGTAATCTCAAAGCACAGAAAAAACACAAGGCCATACCTTGTTTTGCATCAGAGAAGTGAAGTCTGCAGCTGACGTGCTAGAAAGAAGCAAATGGAAACCATAGTGGGCCATATTTCATTATACAGGAGTTCTCTTCCCCATGTCGGGGTTTGATGTGAGGGACTTGACTGTGGACTCCAGTTTTCTAGCTGAATCGTCCTTGCCTTCTGAGATGCTGCAGGGGTACTGTAAGATTCGTGCAGCCAGAGCCTGCTTCCCCCCGAGGGCAGAGGCAGTGTGCTTTCTTTGGAGTAACACTAACATTAGTAGAGTTATGAACATGCAGTGCTTGTCAGGTGCGAAGCACTTCACTGAAGACATTATTCCTTGTGACACCGTTAGTCCTCACAACAGATCCTTGGCACAGGTGTCACTACCTGCATTTGCATCACTACTTAGCACTGGGATGTGAGTGGTGTAAAGACAGCTCCTAATCCCCTGTCACCTAATTTTTCTCTCCTCTTAAGACAGAAGCCTCTCCCTGTCTCACAGGGAGCCTGCGCCCTGACCACGTCCTTACTGGCTGACTTGGGAAAGGCCACTATCTAAAAGGAGAGATTTGTGGTATGTTTATTCAGGAGCTGGGAGGGCCTGGCTGTATTCAGGGAAAAGCAAGTGAGAATGAGAAGATGGGGGAAGATTTCTGATCACACTGCACATACTGAGTCCCCCATGGGAACTGCGGATCTGCCAGCCTTTGCCGGAACACAGAGGAAGATGAGAACCATCAGAATTACTGACTCTCTCAGTTTGTGAGGACAGCGGGTGCCACCACCTCACCCACTGTGAAGCCAGATGAGAACACTGGGCACACACATGCAGGACATGATGTCCTGCGCCACCACCCATCTCAGGCTCTCACAGGGAAGGAGAGGAGGTGACGGAGGTTTGGAATGATGCGTTCTTTGGAAAACGTGCCATTGTGTTTCCCTCCCTTCTCCCTAAACTGGCTGATGAGGGCAGGCAAGGACTTCTTTAGACCTCAGGGGAGGCGCTGCCGTGCGAGAAGACTGCCAAACAGCCTTAGCATCCACAGCACAGAGCATGCTAGGAGAGGTCAAATTGAGCTTTCACTTTGGAATTTGGGGACACAATTGTACATGGAAAAAGCAAACAAGTCGGTGCAAAAGGGCAGAGAGGCCAGACTGAGGAGAAAAGATCCACCTTCACTAGAGCAGTCTGAGCTCTCAGTTCTACAGGGCAGCCTGCTGCTGAATCCTTTGGGAGCAGGGACATATGGAAGGAAGCTGGGCAGGTGCCCGCTGGAGAAGGCAGAGGCAGCCCAAGAACCAAGGGGCTGCGGGGGAGTGAGTGAACCAAGGAGGGGAGCAGTGGTCATCCAGCAGCAGTCCAGGCTCAAGGGGATGAACTCCTGAAGGTGGGAGCCCCACAGTGAAAGAGGAAGGTGTGAATCTCAGAGAGGGCATCAACACCAGGCTGCCCTGGCTCCAGCCCAGACCYTTTGTGCCTGCACCCTTCAGCCTCTGCCCCAGCCCAGGAGAAGTCAGAAGCAGGAGAGTGACAGGGAGCAGGGGAGGAGTGGGGAGGAGAAGATCAACTCCCTCCCCAACTGGCTTTCTGCAGGCTGGGCCTGGACACAAGGGGCGGGGGGTGGGGGAGCTGTGGACCAGAGACTGTAGTTTTGATAAGAATCTGACTAGACTGCTGAGCATCTGAAAATGAGATCACTGTATCTAAAAGCCAGAAGAGGGAAATGGTGGGGGAGGGAAAGCCAATGGGCTATGATTGAGGCAGTGGAAGAGAAAAACGAAACCATTTTCTGATGGTATCCTCTGTCATCTATCCCATTATGCTAATTTCACACAATGTGAGATTTTGATTTTTTTATGAAAAGAGCAAATTACAAAGCCCAGTTCCCTTACAAATCCAGATTTTAAATGTGTAATATTTGTCACAGAATACCTTAAAGACGACATTTTCATACAGCATTTTCAAAAGAAATAAGTTGTTAATGGATCTATTTCCCATAAATGTTTGGCTAAATTTTTCCTTTCCCACATTTCCTTTTCTACCATTATAGGGCTGTGTCACCAACTGGCTCCTAATCCCCTGTCACCTGATTTTTCTCTGCCATATCTAAGACCAAATCTAGTAAGACTATATCTAATATTTATAAAATGTTCTGTGATTCTCCAAGAATCTCTAGCAACATGTCTTGTATGTTTTTCCATTAAAAAATATTCTTCTAAGAGGACATCAATTTAGATGAAATTGTACCTGGTGGCTGGATTGACAGTTCCTATATCCACTCAGATTCAGTATTGGTCTTTCTATTTCTTCTCCAACACTGCAGTATTCTGGGGTTAAAGGAATTGCCCTAAAGATCTTGGYGAGGGACTCTGAGGGATGGAGAGAAGATGGTGAACTTGGCCCAGACATCTAAAAGAGCTATTTATAGTCGCATCTTTCCTGACCTCTCCAGTGGGAAACACACTGGGGAGGTGTCTGGGGAGAGGACAGTCATACTCACTCTTCATTGACAAAGATGAGTTCCAGAGATGGTTGGTTGTTTACATCGAGACCTACAGGGGCAAAGAAATGTGAGAAATGAGATGTGGTGCTGAGCTGACACCTGGGTGGAAGAGCAGCCAGGGATCGGGCTGGGCAGGGGGTGTTCTGGGTGACGATCCCCCTTCTCTCTGCTCTGATACAGTGGAGCTCATAGACAGAGACAAGGCCCTCGGCTTTGTATAACTCCTGAGCGTCTTGGGGGAAAGAGCAGAGGGGGATGCCCATAAGTGAAGGAGGAAGGAAGAGCTGGGGGTGGGGATCAAGAAAGCTCCAGGTTATAAGAGCTGGTGTGGAAGAGAGGGAAAATGGGAATGAGCGGGTTATGGGGACAGGCACCAAGATGGGCAATATCACGAGAGAAGACCGGCAGGGCACCCAGGGGGGAGGTTGGGGGAGCAGAGAGGAGATGAACTCCAGCAAACTGTACTGATGGGCTCGGCCTCTTCGGTGCTGGAGTTGCCCGCCACGAGCTGCTCCTCCTCAGCACTGACCAGCTCCTGCAGCACGGCCTCCACGATGGGCATCACCATGGCCGTGGTGGAGGTGTTGGAGAGCCACATGGACAGCAGCGTGGTGCAGCACATGAAGCAGAGCAGCAGCCTGGAAGGCAGGGTGGCCGGCAGGGCGTTAGCAGAGTGCCCATCTCCCGGGCCAAYGGCGGATCCCACTGAACCCTCCTGGGGCCTCCTCCCTACCTGACAGYGTTGGTCTAGAATCTGTAGCCGGCTTTTACCCACCGGGCCATTCAGCTTTGTACTCCTAGTGCTTGGCACTGAATGAGCCTTAATTTCATTATTTGTCACATGAATGAATCACACTTCATGGGCTAGTGACCTTAGCCAGGAAAAAGCCCTTACTTAAGCAGAGAATAGCTCTGGTAGAAGGTCACAGGGTGTGGACCTACTGTTTGCTCTTCTCTCCGTGTGGATATTATGTGGAGCTTAGCAGTGTGTTTCCTGTGTATAAGGGAATTCTTGTTCTGTTTCTGGTGGTGCTGGGCATTGAGCCCAGGGGTGCTTTACCATTGAGCTGCACCCCCAGCTCTTTATATATACAGGGTCTCAATAACTTGCCAAGGCTGCCCTTGAATTTAGAATTCTCCTCCTCAGCCTCCTGAGTTGCTGGGATTACAAATGTGTACCTGGCAAGGGAAATCTTCTGCCCTTGTAGCCAGCAATTCTGAGTACCATTGTATTTCCTACTTTGCAGCCAAGTCACCATAGTTGTTACTAAATAGAGACTAATGTTAGGGGCTCACAGTCTGCCCACTACACATCCCACTGTCAACATGCCAAAAGTGTGGCCCCAAAGTCATAGCAGTGTTCCATACCACTGTGTGAACTCTTTCATCTGGTATCTAAAACAGTCAACACTTGGAGGAAAACACTAACGAAGATAACCTTCAAATGCTTTCTCTTTGACTTTGAAACACTGTGCAATGTGCCTGCATAGACATGTTTCCATAAGAAAAGCCACCCCCAATATCACCTGTGTTTGCGATTTTAGGTGGAATCATTGACTTCACACAATTTCGGGACAGTACACTTGTCATGTGATTGTGAYGAAGCAGGGGCCTGTCCTGGGGGTGCTCTGTTTAGGCTGACAGCAACGTGAGTTTTTCTGGCCTGCACATGCCTTGGCAACTGGGTGGAGACTGAGCAGGGTGGGAATGTGCTAGGTGATGTGGTATGAGGGAAGAGTGGAAACACAAGTGGACAAAAATTCTTGAAGACATTACACAGAGGTTTCCCAAAGCCACAGAGTCCCACCATGATGTGGGGGAACAGTGCCATGGGCCTAGGAGATGGAATGTAGGGACAAGATAGCTGGGGAGGGGCAGTTAGCAGCCCCAGTTGATGATCTAGGAGACAGGAGCTTATGTGTAGGCAAAGCCTATGTGCCTAAGGGACTGATTTTGAAAAGTAATACTATAAATGATCTATTTCTATGCCCACTCCCAAGAGTCAGTACACCTTCCATGACATGTAATAGTTGTAAACCAGAAGAAGCACGAAGGGCTGACACAAGAAGGTGCCCAGGGCAGCAGGAGGGAGGCTTCCCCAAAGCATCAACCACGACATTCCCATGCATGCCCCCAGGGGCCAGTCTCTCCCACGTGGCCTTCTTGACACAGTGGAAAGAGGAGGCAGCTGAGAGCTTCGTCAATGCAACATGTCTAACGTGTCTGCTCTGAAGCCATGACAAAAACTGCTGGGCGGATGGGAGAAAACATCCACAGTTCCTTAAATGACAGAGAGGACGCCCACTTCCTCCTCCAGCCTGCTCCCTGACAGACACGAGAAAGGTTGGCCCCTGTGTTACCTAATGAGCCCCTTGTATGTTTTAACCCGCTGCCTTTGCAGTCTAGGTTACCAGGTAAGTTTTCTGGGTTCTGCTGACGGTGACCCCAGGGTCACTGATTCAAATCTATATTCCACGGCCACAAGGAACTCTCATTGTTAGGGGATGGGAGCCCCACAACTCTAGTATTACCCCACCCCCATGAATAGAACGACAGGCTACCACGAATGTCCCACTGCGACCTGACAGGCTGGATGTACTGTCTGTCCCGAGTGCGACTCACATGCCCGGCTTGGCTCCGGCCATCAAGACCATGCGCAGGGCGATTCTCTTGTGCAGGTTCCACTTCTCCACGGCGGCCGCCACGCAGATGACACCCACCAGCAGCAGAGTGGTGTTCTTGAAATACTCGGCTGCCACCTGTGGGGAGACCCAGRCAGGTCAGCTACTCTCCCAGCACCAAGGCCTGGCCAGCGGGGAGATCAGGTAGTGCCCCAACCCCTTCATAGGCAGAGGCTGGCAAAGAGACAGCAGGGAGGGGAGCGGCATCAAAAAGCTTTTCTTGTGGTGCTGGGGGTTGAACCCAGGGCCTTGTGCAAGTTGGGCAAGTGCTCTACCACTGAGCTACACCACCAGCTGAGATAGCTGATTACTTTAGAACAGTATCTGCCCAGCGCCTACCAGGCAGGCTCTGTGTGAGCACTTTACAAAGATGATTTCATTTAACCCATCCGATAAACCCATGGGTAGATATTGACCTCACGGGCACTTGGCCACAGAGCCACATCCCCAGCCCTATTTTGAATTATTTAGAGACAGGGTCTCACTGAGTTGCTTAGAGCCTCACTTTGTTGAGGCTTACTGCCTCATTCTCCTGAGCTGCTGGGATTACAGGCATGTGCCACCACACCCAGCTTTCCAACTTTTTAAAACATAATATTTGTATTTAAATTTGATGTGAATATGATTTTAAAGAATAAACACATGTATAATTTTATATCACTCTTTAAAATTATTAAAATAAACTTAGGTTTATATTCAAATCTCATGTTTAATGTTTTTAAAAATATTCAGAAAATTATTTTCTTATTTATAGGAAAAAGAATACATGCTCAGTATGGAAAACCTCAAAATATAGAAAAATTATTCTACTTTTGTTAATAACTTAGTATTTTCCCCTCAATTTTTTTCCCTATGGCTATGTAGATGCATAAATGGATTTTCACATTATGAGAGGTATACACATTGCCCTTTTTTCCCATTTAATATTATATCCTAATCATTTTCTTTATTTTTTTCCTGATCATTTTCTTAATATTTAAATTTATGGGAAAGTTCGTTTTAATGGCAACATAATTTACCACGGAATTTATTTGGTCATTCTCCTTTTGTTGACTATTTAGATTTATCTTCATTTGTGCTACGATGGAGCAAAGAATGATCTTCTGACATTATTACCCTATGTACAAATATGACTACACAATCAGTGGGATTTTACATCATGTACAACCAGAAGAATGAGAAATTATACTCCATTTATGTATGATGTGTCATAGTGCACTCTACTGTCATGTATAACTAATTAGAATTTAAAATATTTAAAAAAAAGAATGATCTTCTGCATAAAATATCCTTCTGTAAATGTGATCGTTTCTCCTGGATAGACTCCCCCCTGCCCTTCAGTACTGGTGATTGTCCTCAGGGCTTTGGGCATGCTGGGCAAGTGCTCGACCACTGAGCTACATCTCCAGCACCCTCTTTTTTATATATATTTTTACTAGTTTTGATGAACTTTTAAATTTTATTTATTTATTTGTATGTGGTGCTGAAAATTGAACCCAGTGCCTCACACATGCAAGGCAAGCGCTCTACTACTGAGCCACAACCCCAGCCCCTCCAGCCCTTTTTATTTCTTATTTTGAGGCAGGGTCTTGCTGAGTTGCCAAGGCAGGCTTAGAACTTGTGATTCTCCTGCCTCAGCCTCCCAAGTTGTTGGGATTAGAGGCATGCACCACCATGCCCACTAGGAGTTATTGAAGGTGTTTTTATAATTTGCCTTAATTTTTTGTATATACATTTTAATGAATAAGAGAAAGCATTGCCAAATAAGGAAGAAAATTATAGATGATAAAAAGGGAAGAAAAGAAACAGCTCCCTATGGACCTTAGTTCCACACTCCATAGGGCACTTGGGGCAACATTTGAATTGTTGTTTTGTACTTGTTCTGTTGTTTGGTCACTTTTTTTTTTAATTTCTTACTTTTCAACTCAGTTTTGCACTGCTAATGCCTAAGGACCTTTCTTTATCCCTTTCTCTCTCTCTCTCTCTCTCTCTCTCTCTCTCTGTGGTACTGGAGATTAAATCCAGGGGCGCTGGGCCACATCCCAGCCCTATTTTGTATTTTATTTAGAGACAGGGTCTCTCNTGGTACTGGAGATTAAATCCAGGGGCGCTGGGCCACATCCCAGCCCTATTTTGTATTTTATTTAGAGACAGGGTCTCTCTGAGTTGCTGAGACCCTTTGCTGAGGCTGGCTTTGTACTCATGATCCTCCTGCCTCAGCCTCTGGAGCCACTGGGATTACAGGCTTGAGCAACCACTGCRGGGGCCTTTTCTTTATCTCTTAACACTTTCTATCCCAAAGTAGATACTCAGTAAATATTTCACATACGCGAGAATTGCTCCTAGCTGGAAGAAACATGACAGACATTGAAAGAAAAATATATAGAAAAATTAAACTTCTAATTTAAAATTCCTCTTAAAGGGAGAAAACAAAAAAATTAACTACAGGAAAGATAAAAATGGAACAAAAGAAGGAAACGAAACATTGTAAAATATGTGACCAATATTTGCATAATCATACCAGTATTACATTTTAATGATTGAATTTACAAAAACTGATATAACTATATTGGGGGGTGGAGGAGAGGCAGCAGAGGATGTAAAAGAACCAAATTGTCATCTGTCCTCACAGGAAGTCAACTGAAAATGTCTAAAAATGAGGATTCAAGAACTAGTGCAACAATATCATATAGGAATATGGAGCTTAATGACAGAGAAGCAGGTAACAAAGTTGAAAGATCCTTAGTCTGAAGGCAGAGTGGGGCTTGARGGGGGATCAAGAGGGGAAAGGGCAGAGACTTTATTATTCAGCTTTTAGGCTTCGTGCATGTAACACTTTGATAACATCAAAGCCATAATAAAGTCAGGCTGCTCCATTTCTCCCTCTCTCTTTTGCCCCATGGAAATTTCATTGCGTTTGGTTGATGAGATCTGTGCARTGGGAACATCTGTCCTCTTTGCGACCATGTCCTGGGAGAGGAGTTCTCTGCGTCTGGCTAACCTAGATCTTGTCTCCAGGCTTATTCCTCAGCTGACTATGGTCGCAGTTTCCCTCTCAGGCTTGCAGGAGGCATCTCTGCGCCAAGAGGGCTTTACTGTCTCTCTGCAGAGGAGGGAACCCACAGCAGGAGCCAGACAATGTAGTTCTTGGAGATGGCTCCTCCATCATGAGGTTGTCTGCTCTGAAGCTATTGAAGTCAATGAGACCAGAATTACTTTCTTAGGGGACTGATGACAAAATTTAGTTTCCTCCCTCCTTGGCACATATCATTCATTCCAGGACACCAGTTTATCTGTGATGGCCTTTTAGGAGGCTCAGTACCTAACAGCAGGTGTGGCTGTTTCCTGTGGATTCTGCTCAAAGGGAAAGGAAGGCACAGACAGGTGGAGATCTGGGTGCCAGGCACCCTGCAGTTTGCATTCACTTCCTCCTTTGAGATCTACCACAGCCCTTTGAGGCTGGTGTCTGATTTACAGATAAGGAAGCTCAGAGAGGTGAAGGAACATTTCCAAGGTCACAGTGCAGGGGTGGAGGTAGGATATCAATCCAGGTCTGTCTGAATCCAAAGCCACCTAGACAATCTGGAAACTGGTTGGGACCAGAATTTCCTTGGTCAGCAGACTGCATTGACACCTATTTCTTATCTTCCATAATTGCTGTCCTGAGGCTGGCCCTAAATGCCCAGGGCTGGGCTAAATAAGGCCCAATTTCAGTGAGATATTGGCTCTGTGCTGTTTTCTCTTTGGGCGTTTGGTGGGTGAGAGTCTATTCATATGCCTTTCTTGCTCTCTGGTGTTACCATGTGCTTGGGAGATGCAGCCTGGCACTCAGGCTGCAGTTTGTGATTATAAAGTTAGCATAGTCCARTGGGAAAAGCAAGGACTGCAGAGCCAGCCAAGTCTTGGCTGTGTAAGCCTAGGCATGTTATTCAACCTCTCTGGGCTTCAATTTTCTTATTAAAAAAGAAAAAGGTTATGGGAGGCCCTACTTTGTAAGGTTGTCACAAACATTAAGAGACCCAGCTAACATGGCCTGCCATGTAGACAGCCAGGATTTCTAGAGACTCTTCCTGTTATTAAGTGCTTCACACAAGGGCTGATTTGGTCTGAGGCCATTAGCACACAGTGGGCTCAGAGCAAAGCCACAGGGCTGCCTTTTCACTTTTATAAATTAAAATCCCGCTCAGTGGTGTTGTTTGTTAGTTTTCTAGCCCATTGATTTTTCTCTCACAATAAAACCTTGCTTATTTAGAACCCCCCGGGGAWCACCAGAGTCCCAGGATTGCTGAGGATTATCTTAATCATTTTCTGAAATGTTCTGCCTCCTTCCTGCCTTTATTAACAGAGCCYGGGCATTCTCCAGCCTCTTGCCAGCCCTCTGAGATGGCACCCTCAGCCAGCAACTCCACGCTGCTGTGCTTTCGCCGAGCTACCCGTCCAGGCTGCTGCTGTGCCAAGCCCCACATGTGCATTTTATGCTTTTCTGGGTCCTCTACTTAGKCTGCTGCAGCTGTTGCCAGGATCCTTGCGATTAGCAGCCCTTTCCCCACTTGTAATATCCTATGACTGATATTCTGTGACTCAGAAGCCAGATAACAGAGGATGCTTGAGTTGTGTGTGAAGAGAAGTTGGGTTCTAAAGGGGTGCTCCTCCCGGGAGTCAAGAGCAGGGTTTTGTGACATTGTTTGCTTTTTCCACCTTTCTTCTCTGTGGTTTTCTCAATGTGCCACGTCATTGAACTTGGAGAGCACAGGTGTAGCTGGGCTGTGTTTTATAAAAGATGGGTTCACGGAGGCCACCTTGGAAAGGTGTGCAGAGTACAGCAATGAGGAGCTCCAGCCCTGGGGCAGGAGGATGGCGACCCACCGGTGAGTTGTGGGCCACTGGACAAGCTAATGAACCTCTGGACCCTGTCACTGCAACCTTGTAAGTGCCAATGGCAATGCTACACAGTTCACTGGATCTGTCATGAAGCGGGCCTTAAATAAGAAAGTGCCCGCGGGTTCTTAGAACAGTGCTTGGTGCATCTGAAGTGCTCGATAAATGTTACCATTAAGGGAGTAAAAAGAGATCAAAGC